AAATACACAGCCGGAAAAAAACTTCTACTTCCTTACAGAGCCCCTCCTCCAACACACACGAACGCGCACATGACCAATGAGGGCACGAGATAGGTTTGTGCACAGATGGAAGGCTGACAGGCAGGTAGGCCATCCAGTTATTTTAGCTGGGCCGGCTAAAATGATTGGTCGCACTTTTTATAGTAGGCTGTAAAAAAATGTATGGATTTTTTGTCAAAGCACTTAAGATATTCATTGCTATTGGGATGTTAAGAGCATTCCATGGAATATAACAAAAAGTGTATCTCGAGCCGGTTTCTCAAACTTACCTACCCCATCTTTAAGTCAGCAAACTTGGTGCCTACAGCAGTGACTATATAAGGACCATATGCATGAGTAACAATATAAACAATTGTGGTGACTTTTTTTCCACCACATTTAAACAAGTTATTGAGAAGATCTTTAGTTAAAAAATAAACCTCAGCTACAGAGTTTTACAGTTGTCTATATGTTAAAGGCTTACTACTCAAACTGGAGGGAACTCTCAAAACTCAGACATGCAAGACAGGTTTAAATTCAGTTATATATATTTTTGTTTGGGCTTGTTTCATAGCTTTTACATGATCCTTTTCCTATACCCAAAGACTGTTAAAGTAAGTAAAGATAACTACTGTGCAACAAGTACTGTATTAGTAGCCCATGACTTTTCTTTTACAGTGCTAGTTCCTTTTTGTAAATAAATGTTTACTTTTCTTATACAATAAACGTTCTGTCAGTTGAATTTCAGTCCACTCTAAGTGGGGCCAAAGAATAGCAATACTTAATGTGTGGGCAGATTGAAAATCAAAGGGATAGATGAATTGTAAAAATATATTCAAACAAAGTTTCCCCACCTCTCTTCTTTAGCTCGTCGTAACAGTGATCACACACTTTGGCCATGCGGTCTTTCATGTATTTCAGTGGGTATCTGTTTCTGGAGCAGCTTCGACAAACAATCTGTGTCAAACATAAATTAAACCACAAGCAGATTAAAAACAAACACACATTTAGAACACTCTGGTCAAAGACACAAGTGGTTGCCTCGCCTAACAGAATATTACAACAGATTTGTATAGAGGACTGCGTTTCATGTGTGTGTGACTCACTCTTCCGCAGCCATGGCAGTGGTGTCTGCGCAGAGTGAGGCTGAAATCGGAGGTGCAGTTCATGCACATCATCACTTGTGAGACTGGGACGAGTGTCGGGGCTTTCTCTCCCAGAGTCAGACGCAGACCCTCTCTGGCCTGGAACAAATAAACAGAAACAGAGAAACATGTTGATGGTCATTGATGAAAATGACTTATAACATCAATCTCATTCTGGCTGGGTGAAGATAAGCATGACAAATGTAAGGGTAATGACTTAATGGTAGATACTACAGTTGAAGTGATTAAAACGTTCAACTTTTTATTATCCCCAGGAAACCTCCCAATATCATTACTTACAGTTATGCTGCAGTTAGTTACTTTAATAAGAAAAACTTTAGGTCATATTTGCTGAAACTGTTACAATTTCTTGACCTTACTAATTGAGTCATCATGTTCCTCTAGTGAAACGTTGATGCATCGGAGTGCTAATAAAGTGGGGTTTACTGGCTCAGAGTATGAAACAAACTAATTTAGAGAAAATGGCCTTTAAAGACATATATTGACAATTTCCAAACATTATGGCAAAGCACTACAGGTGAGTAGGCTAAACAAATATCTACAGGGATAGATTACATGTTACTTGTTACATTACATGTTATTTGTTAGACACTTTTATCCAAAGCGACTTACATACTCAATACTGTGGGCAATCCCCACAGGAGCAATTTGAGGTGAAGTGTCTTGCCCAGGGACACAACGACATGCTGACTGCAGTGGGGTTTGGGATAGATATTACCAGGAATGTCCTCGGCTATATTTCTTACATTTAGGAAATCATTTATTTTATGGTTCTAAGTAGTTAGGTTAAATATGCAAATGACGCAATTCCCTTTTTCAAACTTTTGGAACATTTAAGAGAAATGTTGCTCACCTCTCCTGAGCAGCGGTTGAAGGCCACAGACCCCCTTTCATGTTCACTCACAGTGCGGCTCAGAGTGTAAAACCAGTCTTCTCTTTCAAGGAAGGAACTGCAAAAAATACACAAAAACATCACCACAGTATTAAACACTAAAGTACTAAACACGCTGATTTTGAAAGTAAGTTTTACATTTGAATCACTACCATCACAGATACTAGCTATTATTCGAACAGCACACAGTACAGTGACCTACGTTGCAGACAAAGTGATGGAGATGTCTGGTACTTCAATCCTCAGTGCGTTTTGGACATCATCCATTATGGGTTTACTGAGCTGGGAAATCAATAAACAGCATGTCAAGACCAGGAAGTAGAAGTTTACAGCCTGACAGTTAGAAAATAGCACATGTATTTACCATCTCACATTCCTTTTAACAGGAACATCTATATATAAATACTTTTATGGCCATAGTTTCTACACATGTACTGTCAGATTTAACTGTATATATACTTCTGTCGGATTTTGAAAGGATATAAAACAGATCAGGCAAATCAAGGAAAGATGCAGACCTTCATTCCAGTGAGTGGCAGGTTATTCTTCAGTCTGTATTTCCCGTCCTGCTGAGGGTATGTGTACAGCAGCACATCATTCATCTAAAAACAAACGCAGCAGATAAGCACATGCAGATCAGAGGACATGTTAAGAGGATTAAAAAAGTAAAATAGCTAGTCAGCTGCTCACTCTCACGTTTGTACGTGCATCATTCCTCCAGTAGTGGGCACTGTTATACAAAAATATACTTCAGTGAATTCACAGTTGATTCACTGATTCACCCCCTCCATAAAATAATGATTTTCATACTTCACTTGGATGTTTGAGCTTCACTGTGCACAATAATGGACGTGCAGAGAAGGCTGTGTTAAATTCATGCACCGAAGTAAACGATTTTCTTTGTGGGGGATCTATAAAGTGAAAACCCCTAGCTGGAATTGTTACGATCTAACATTAATAGGTTACCTCTGTAAACAAATAACCAAGCACTTGATATCAAACTGGATCATTAATTTCTGTAGCATTGTTACAGTGTGGGTTGTACGAATTTGTTATGAGACTAGAAGACCATGTTTTATTATTCTGTCTCAAACATTAACAGCTTAGAAACATGTGATCAGCAGCAGGGTTTATAACTGGCATGATAAAAGTTACGCAGCGCTGATTACCAACATTTCTCCAGAAGAGACATTTACAAGCTTTTTTAGTGTCGAGGCCAGACTGCAAATTTAAAAACGCCACAGGAGAGAAAAGCAATGCTCTATGATAATGTTCTGGATAATTTGCGATGGGATTTCATTTTTCTAATCCCTTTTGATTTTATAAATCCTGAACGATCTCTAGGTTTTGATTTTCCTCAAACTTGTGCAGTGTTTCCTCTGCCTCCTAGACCCACTGTTGTTTTTAACCATCTCTTTTATTTAATACAGGATGTTGTGATGACCTTGCTGTGACAGGCATTGAAATATGACACAAATACATTGTTAGTTTAAACACACAACATTAAACGACGTTATTGATTAGATCCTTCTCCCTACTGTACAACCCAGTTTAATTTAGCACAGTCAGCTGACTGCACTGTCTTTATTAAAGGTGCTTTATGAAACATCAAACTATTAATTAACTAACAGATTTTAAGTAATAAAAGGTCACAGGTGCAAACGGATAAGGAGCTGGTGTTGACCTTCCCTGTGCTGTCAGTAAAGAACTGGCTCAGGAAGTCAGCATTCAGAAACATCCTGCCAGGAAACCTGCTCTTAATAGCTCAGTCTGGACTTAGAAATACAGCAGACAGAAAATGCATGACTCTACATTTTACACAGAGATATCTTAAGAACCCTAAATGACCACTGGCACAGGTGTCTGTTAACTTAAAACTACAAACAGGAAGCAGCATTTACCAAAAACAGATGTCGCGGCTGATGACTCTTCCTGCTGACCTTCATCAAGGTGCCCTCCTTCACAAAGACCTGAACAGAAAAACACAGGACCAGACTGAGCACTTCACGAGTCATCTGACCATGACACAGAGGCCATCTGCGGTAATTAATGTTGTTTTAAATCAGGCTGGGGATTCCCAGCTGAATGATTGTTCAAAGGGCAGCACAGGGTGGTGCAGGGCAGACAGGGTGGGCTGGCAGAGAAACAATGCTGTTATCAGAGTCATGGAGTCATACCCTGCCCGGCTGCAGCAGGTCCCGCTGGCCTCGAACACTGTACTCTATGTTGACCAGACGCAACAGGTTCTCCTGACACACAAAGACAGATAAAGAACAGGAAGAGAATTGAGGTAACAAAAACAAAACAATGAAAGAGTACTTAACCTGTCATTTTCCTGTGAACCCTTTATTTTGCTTTTCTGTTTTCTCTACTGTCTTCGTCTGGATATGCAATTGTTATTGCCATATTAATGAGAAAATGTATTCGGTTGGTATGTATTCCTATCTGGAACAATTGCAGCGATAAACGTTTTCTCTGACTGTGTACTGAGCTAAATGCAAGGTCAACATCCTAAACCCTCTCAATAAAAATTCTTTAGAAACATGCTTATGTTTGTTTGCACACTCCTGAATGTTGAAGGCTCCAAGCTGTGAATATGACCCAATTTAAGAGGGGCAGCTTTGATAAAAGCTAGTCGGGTTCTATGTATTTCTAATGTCCATTTAGGGATGCTATCAAAAATGAGCTCTGACTGTAAATGCAGAGATGTGTGGCATTGGTTAATTGCTAAATCCCTGTCCCTATACATTTTAAAATACTTTTTGTAGTCTGAATGGTAAGGGAGTGTGCTTCAATGCTTCCTCTCTTATCTCCTTTAGCCTAGGTAAAACTGGACCATCCTTTACGAAAGGAAAGAGATAATGCTAGAGCAACACATCTCAATAACATCCGCTCTTGGATTGGAATAATTGAAAACATCCTTTGTAGGAGGTGTGATTTTGTTTGGAAAGGAATAAGTCGAATTGTACATCAGTGACCATGTTAAAGTTCATGTGTTTTAATAAAACATCCTTAATATGTGCAGTCTGTTTCTTTTAGCACCTCCTTTCCTCTTACCCTGAGTCCTGATGAATTCCTTTACAACTTGCCAAAAACTCAACTGTGGTTTCAAAGAAGGTGGATTATTGTGCAAATACCTGCTTATTAGCACTAACTTAGTAAAGCTGTGGTCAATGGTGATGTAGTGAATAGGTTTTAGAACTGTTCCTGCTGGTAGCGCTAAAGCAAAATAGGTGTACCACCAAAGCCATTATGGTTCATCCTCTTGAGACCATGAATGTCTGTACCACATTTGATGTCTATCTATCCAATAGTAATCGAGATATTTGCTGCACCAAGCCTTACTAGTTAGAAACAGGGAATGGTTATATGGTAAGAATGTAGTGTATGATTTATATTGATATTATAACTTAAGTTTTACTTTGATGAAAATATTCTCATATTTCTCCCTGTGTTTATACTTAGTCAAACCTGTACTGTGAAAAGTAGAAAGTGACGCTACATTTACTCAGAGAGCGGTTAACTTTCCTTCATGAATAATCTGTTTGCATAATGACTTAAACTTTAGGGGGATGACTGGGCAGGGATAATCTGAAAGTTATAGTAGACCTGTTTGATATATCTACAGAAGAGTCTTTTGGACAAACAAAAACAACTCATATAAGTACTAAGGTTAGACATTCTAGAGATATGTGTTTACATTAGGGCTGCTCGATTATGGCAAAAATCATAATCTCGATTATTTGGGTCAATAATTGATATCACGATTGTTAAAAACGATTATCCATTTACTTTAAAAACATCAATTTATTGAAAAAGAAAAAGGTGTAGTATGTTTTAACAGTTGATTACCCTGAATTTTAAGTATAATTTGTTTTATTTCGATTATGTTGTTTTCATAATCGTTGCAAGCCAAAATCGTAATTGCGATTAAAATACGATTAATTGAGAAAAACGTCTGTACATTTTTATTCCTATGTTTGTATGTTGGGTTCAAGAGTTACGTAACATATGCCTACATGTGAAACTTACCCCATGTTTCAGGCTGTCATTCGCTTGATCTGCAATGTCAGACACTACAGCCACAGCAGCTGTAAAAGACAAACAGAGAGAGGGGAATCAGAAAAACCCTATATAAAACATTGAGAAAAAAAACTAAGAAAATAACTATGCATGAGAGAAAATCTAAATTTAATGAGACAAATTTCCGGGCCAAAATACTTAGAAAATCACCACGTGCTGATTATCACCAAAATGTACTTAAAAATGGCACATAAACATACTAAAATCGCCTAACCTTAAATTTTGATAAAAGCATTTGTATTTCATCAAAGACAGGACACATACCTCTTTCACTTCTTGGTAAAAAATAAAGTAATCATAAATCATAATCTCATCGTGAAACCTGACATGATGAATCCTGTATTTTTCTAAATCAGTCTCAATGTTTCACTCATCTACAATGATAGCGAGCAAGAGAGCTTTTTACAGTTGTTTGTGAATATTTTACCGACAACTTATTGTGGGTTTTTTGATCGTATGACTTTCTTTTTCTTTTCTATGTAGAAGGTCACCAAACATAAAGCCTGAAATGAGAGCCTGGACGTGACTACTTCTCTGGAGTCTGGGGGCTCCCTTATTAGAGATAGGAGATGGGGTTACTGCAACTGGTTTTCTCATGAATTACACATCACAGGCTCCACACAGAAGAGTTGTGAAATGACTGTTTGGTGGGTTTCCACCACAAACAAAACATCTAAACTGGCTCTCTAATGGTCCGTCTCTCAATGCCAAATGAGAGCCAATACATTCCCAGAGCACACAGAGTCACAAACACAGGCCAGTAAAGCCTTGATTATGCTGAAGCGAAGCACCGTGGGGCGGCCCTTCACAGATGTTGCCCGAGCTACGAGCACACACCAAGGCATGTTTGTTGCAGTATTCTCCGTACGGTGTGTACAACAAAACATTCTGTGAAGAAGCAGAAGAAGTGCACGGCAAAATGACAAAGCGCAAACCTCAATGCTACGGAGGAATCGTATATCAAATATTCGTGGCTTTACTATACAATCAAAAAAGGAGTGAAGCATTATAAAGAAAACAAATATTTGAATCCTTGGGAGGTTGAATATCCTGTATACAATAAGGCAGACATATTAACTCAATTATTGGCTTTTAAGACCTCCTGGATTAAAAAATGTTAACACAAATTGGCCTCCTTGAAAATGCCAGGACGTGTTAACAATAGAAAATAATTCATTATTTAACTTCTTAATTAAAGTTATATGCTTTGTCAGTAGGTCTGAAATAAGAGTAAACAAGTGCCTAGTTACTTTTTGTTGACAGTACCTTGGGTGTCTTTATATTCCTTGGAATCAGGAGAGAGGTTGTTCAGGTAATCTGTAGGAGGAGGTGAGATCAAATGAATGAGTGCCAAAATATACTGCTATTTTGGATTATATTTAGATTTTTTAATCATAAAGTATGCTTAGTCGTTTACAAAAGACTCACCAGTGAGGAGCATGCGGTACTGAGCCACACGCACGATGACCTGCAGCAGCTGATGTTTCAGAGACACTTTCTCCCGAGCTGGACTCTGCTATTGAGGGGAAAAAAAACAATTCAACATTTACACTGTATCACACTCTACACAGTAAAGGCCAGATTTATTGTAGAAATCTACATGGACTTGGCCACAGAACATGACAGATTAACTCAAACAGCCGGTGGTTCACTGTATGTAAATAAAACGTGGGTCAAGAAAAGAAAAGAGAAGCAAATAATAAGACACTAGAGCTTTAAGCAGAACCATCCATCGTGTGTGTGTGTGTGTGTGTGTGTGTGTGTGTGTGTGTGTGTGTGTGTGTGTGTGTGTGTGTGTGTGTGTGTGTGTGTGTGTGTGTTAGCAGGTGTGCATTTGAAAATTAGCACAACAATTATTTTCATTACTAATTAATCTGCAGATTATTTCCTAAATAAATCATTTGGTCTATTACATTTCAGAAAGAAAGTAAAAACCCAAATTATTTAATTCAACATAACACAAAAGAAAAAGAAGCTGGAAATATCTAAAATCTAATAAAAGCATATTCTGCCATTTCTGAATGAAAAATTGATTAATCAATTATGAAAAAGTACCTGATTGTTTTTCTAGTGATCAACAAACATTGCATCTTTAGTGAAAATCCTGCATGTCTCTATGCATCAACACCCTCTTTTTCAAGAATCACTTTATCTTTAGACCAAACTGCCGAGCACTGCAATTCTTCCTGCCAAGTCTTCTCATCTGTGGTCTATAAAATGGACGGAAAATATTAAAAACTCTTTTGTCATTGGCTGGGTAATATTTGATGGCTCAGTGGATACTGAGCATAGTCTGCAGTCTCCCTGTTGAACTGTAAAGCATAATATTATGAATCCTACTTAATTTAAACTTTATATTGTCTTAATAGCTTCCCTGACTGACTGGTTTTAATTGAGGCCAATTATTTCTCCTCACTAAAGTGTATTGTTTGGGTATGTTGGGGAATCTAACCAACATTATTTTAAGATCCCCCTGTTTTTAAAGAGACGTCCAATTAATGGTTGCACCGAGTGGCTCGTGCCGACATAAGAGACAACTTTACATATAAATCTGCGTTCTATGTTTTTCCTTTGGGTGCCATGACTGTTTCTTTTAACACAGTGTGAAGTAGATGTTGCTTTAAGTTAAATCATACTTGTATTCACTTAGCTGTCTGCCTTTTGCGTTAACCTTTGAAGGGTTTGCATATTTTGCTTTAAGTCACAAGTGCTCTTCCACACGCACACAGACCAATAGCAACACTTTGCCATCCCCAATCTTTGCCACAAATAACACACTTTATCCTTGTCATCGCACACAAACAAACACACTGAAATCTGCTGATAAGAGATCATGTGAAGAGATAAGTGAGACTCTTGATGCTATCACAGATGTTGAAAGCATACTGTCAAAGTTATATTTAATAAGAACCTCTGCAGCTTTACACCACCTAGTCAATTGATGAATGTTAACATATTTTAACCATTTCAAAGGTTTACAGTACTCCTGTTTTCCTGTTCCTGTACACATTTAAGCAGTCAGCAAACATTAACTTGTACCGTATAGTACTGTACAAACATAAACATAGTTAATACAAGTGTAATCTTTTGGTAAGCAGAGATATTCATAATGGTTGTATGCCTTCCCATGAGAAGAGGATAAGGCTTTTCATTTCCAGAGAATATAGATAAGATATCTACTGATATAGTGCTGTTTGTGGGTGTCTAACATTGTATGGTTTCAAACATAGATTTCCTTTGACTGCGGTAACTGTTTAATTTTGTATTTTGCGATTAGAAAAACCGAAACACTATGCTGTAGGACTGACCTCAAACTGGTGAACAATGGCAGCAAAGGCAGGTGAAGTTCTGCAGCTGTCGTCCAGCAGGTTCATACTGCGATCATAGTGGCCGATGTAAGTGGTGAAAACCAAGAACTCTGCCTTCCTGGAGAGGTAGATGTCTGCAATCCTCTGGCTCTCCTCCCTGAATGATGGCGACACAGAGGGGATGAGGGAGAAGATGTGTTGAAGGTAATTTGTATTAGCACCTCAGTATTAACAGAGCTGGACAGAGTTCGTGTCTCACCAGTGTCGGATCCGATTCTCCAGCTCGGTGAGGATTCGGCGGTGCAGGGTGTAAACATCAGGCAGCTCATTGAGAATCTCACGAAGCCTCTCTTCGTCCAACACAGGCTCCCCCTCGTCCCCAACTGCTGCACCCACTGCTTCTCGAAAGTCCTGGGATATGGGCAATTGTGGACGCATGGTTATTTTCTCTGTTTATGTTTAAAATCTCACTCATTTTTGCATTTCTCCCCTGTTTTCCCATCCCTTTTATAATAGTGTAACACAAATATATCTGAGATCAGGAAGTACATTATATATTTTATCGAGAAATGCTTTCACTGGTAAGGAGACCTGAGCTGAGGTGGCATGGGTCAGTGTCTCTAAAATAGGACATTTACGGAATTGGAATTTGTGGGCCAAGTATAGCAGCAATACAGCTGATATCATGGATAGTGCTGAGCACAACTGCTGTGACACACAACATAAGTAGCATTTAATAAAACTGCATTCATACAGAGCTCATCCAGCCTGTTGAAGCCTAAACTAGAATCTACTGTAATCTGTTCCCTCTCATAGGAAATATCTAGATACATAGAATAGAATTGGGAGGGATGAAACCCTCTTTAATGGTCACACATGCAGAGCACACAGCACACACAGTGAAATTTGTTCTCTGCATTTAACCCATCCTAGTACCAGGAGTCTAGCACTAGGAGCAGTGAGCAGCTATTGTACAGCGCCCGGGGAGCAATGGGAGTGAGGGGGGAAGGGGGTTGTCCGGTGCCTTGCTCAAGGGCACCACGGCAGGGCAGGAGGCGAACTGGGACCTCTCCAAGTAGCAGTCCACACTCCATATTCTTTAGGTCTGGTCGGGGACTTAAACCGGCGACCCTACGGTTCACTGACTGAGCCACTGCCAGAAGTTATTGAAATAATGAAAATAAAAATATCACAGATCACTTACTTCCTGGAGGAGCTTGAGGGCTTTCACATGTCTGCGGACAGAGAAATAAAAACACAATCAAACTGTGAAGTGTAGGGTACCTGATTAGTTTGAATTAGCAGAGATGTTTCAGAAGGAAAATCATTTGACATGTTACTTACAATCTTTCTGTATCCACCAGCTCTTTTGCGACGTAAAAGGCTCTGGATCGGCCATCAGGCTGTAAACAGTCATATTTTTAACTTGTTATAAGCCCAGGGTTAGGAAGAGCTGAAGCATGTTGGCACCAGTTCAATCAATATAGCTGGCTCCCCTCTCCACATTGTCTCCAAGGGGCAATCAAATTCTAAATAATGAGGAAAACCTAGCAGTAGCCCATTAACCTCCATTAACCCACATTCAAATCCTTCCTTGTGAGAGCAATTTTGCAATTGCCCAAGGTGAAAAACTGTTCACTTTGCTTAACTTGTTTGGTTTTTTTCTCAAATTGTTATTTCTACACACCATTTGGAGAAGGGTAACGAAACAAAGAAATAAAATGATCATTATAATAAGTATTATATATTAACACGATCAATTAATCAAAGTAAAAGTATTTGAAGATTTTCATTTCAATTAATGTCTATTATTTAGTCACAATAATTTGCTACATGAGGTAACAAAATGGATATCCAACCCATGAACACCAATGAAAGCCCTTGCATGTGCATGATGCAAACTTGATGTCTTCAAAATAAGAAATTCAATACAGAATATCTTGAATATTAAAACAGAAATCTAAAAGTCTAAAACATGTTAAAACATTAACCCACCTGTCTGTCATAAAGGCTGTCTGCACCTCCCTCTTCCTCCTCAGAGGTGCGTCCTTGGTCTTCCTCGCCCCCCATCTCTCCCCTGACATCGCGCACTGAGACAGTCTGTGGAGCGACGGCCACTGAACACACATTGTAGGCTTCTGTGTAGGCACTGGTGAGGAAGAAAGGTGCTATGGTGAAATACAGCATGGCTACAAAACATGCAAATAGCAAGTGAACAGGAATTGGGATATGTCAACACTGACTCAAAAAACAAATTTCTGCAGTATAATATATCCAAATGTAATCCAGTGTTTCCAAACCGTTTCAGCTTGTCAAACTCAAAAGGAACATAGGATTGTCAAAAAGGATTGTATAATTGTTCCCCGTAAATACAGGTTATACCTTGGTGTGGATTTTTTGATTTTAAAGAAATTCTAAAGAAACATTTTGGGAAGTACATTTTCATGCCTTCCTTTGAAAAGTTAGATGAGAAAATGAATACCACTCTTATGTCTTTGTATAAATATGAAGCCTATTAGCTAGGCTTAGCACAAAAGCTTGAAACAGGGGAGAACAGCTATCCTTGCTCTGGCCTAGGGGAACAGATCCATCTTTGAGCACCTCTGAAATTCACAGATTAACAAGAAACCAAGGAAAAAAACGTACATTTGTACAAGAGACATAAACATTCTTCTTTTTTTCCTTTGATCAACTTTAAGGTATCAACCGAAATAACCCCATCCCAATGTGACGACCCCTCTACACCACGAGGGGTGCCGTCGGCTGTGTGTGTGTGATTGCAGGATCCAGTGCCTGATGAGCTGCACCTGTCTGATGAGCATTTCCAGTCAATTTGCATTCAATTATCTTCAAACCCAGATCAAGAAAGAAACAACTATTTGTATGGTTTGGCTCACAGCCAATTATGGCAAGCACTCTTTGATGTATCTAGAATGGCCCACTACAACAATAACTACAACCAATACTGTAGTTAAGTCAAGCGTGAAGTATTTAATGGAGTTGACGTGACAAGATGCCACCAAAATATTGGAAAGCACAGTATGTCAATATTACATGCTGGTGGCAATATTTTACACAACTAGATTTCAACTTCTATTCACATGATGGGGATCAAATGAAGCACTCGGTTGGTATTGGTATTACTATGAGAGTACAAGTATAGAATACAATCTCAGTGGTTTAATAATGTAAGCTGTGTTCAGCGCCCAAACCTCCATCCATGTGAGAATAAATCAGATGAGTTTCATCCAAACCATCTTTATGGTCCTCTGTGGTTGTCTACTGAAATATCACTTTAATAAACATATGCAGCGTTAGAAGAAAAATGTGAATAGATAAAACATTGCTGGTCCTATAAACTTATCATAAAAGGCCTGCAGTGACAACTGTGCCCAACCAGGGACGCATATCGGTATTTTATGCTACAAGATTCTCTTCTGCAGGAAGCCATAATGAATATGCTAATAGCTGCGGCTCAGTGGGGAGTGTAAGCTATGCAAATAAAAACACGTATTTAAGTTACAGTAGTGATGTAGTAGTCCTTTATGTGACCGATTGCCTTGCCAATGTTCCTGCCATGTTTTGCTCCAAGCATCGTTGGATTTAACCCCACTGAGATGCAAATGAGCTAAGTATGAACAGCATATGTGAGCAGTTCAGATCCCTGCATCACACACATTAGAGCTGCACGGCCCATTACTGTTCACTGGATCAAACTTGGGATGAGACACCAGGGGGTGTTTGAACCTCAAACTACATGGGTGGTTTTCTACATTAGGGTTTTATAAGACTCCACAGAAACTGCCTCTGTAACCCTCACAGTCCTGCTGGATGAAGGCTGGAGGTGAAATACGTGGAGATATATTACAGTAGGAGATAAAAAAATATCCATTTCCTTTTGCCTGAGGTTCATCTGTGACTGTGAGCCTGTATTTCTTCTAGTGATGGCAGTGATGGGGCAATGATCTCCAAACTATGATCAGCTATTATTGCTACTTCAGGCTACTGAACAACAACAGTCTCAAACAGTGACTCTGCTGTCCTCCAGATGTTGCTTTGCTGGATTGCAGGTGCTGTGATTACTGAAAGTTTAGAGTGTAAACTAATTATGATCATTTAAAGGTGTTTCGTAAATTAGCCTGAGACCCTCAGAGGCATATGTGAGATCTCTTTATGTAAGCAATGTTATAAAAATGAGCTAGTGCTTAATGATTCATTAAATGTTCTAAAAAAACGTTGACGTATTACTTGAACTAACACAGTAGGGGAACATTTGCCAGATTTCATGTCGTCAAGACGGTGATTGTATGCAGAGGAGTACCATTAAAATATGCAATACAATAATGAAAGAAAAGATAAGAGCCAAAAACATTATTTAAAAAGGCACCTTATTTAAATATACAGTATCCTGTGAAAAATAGCATGCCAAAATAATTTTCACTAGACCTATAATAATTAGCCTGAAGGGAGCCCAATTTGAAGGCCACAACAGTATAGTATTTTCATCATTAATCATTTTAACAATATTTTCTGGATTTATCAATTAATAATTTGGTCTGTCAAATGTAAAAAGATAGTAACAGATGACCATCACAGTTTCCCTACGCCAAAAATAATGATTAAACACAGACAAGCAAACAATCCTCACAACCAAGAACAAATAAAACGATTATAACTTTAGAACCAAAATGATTAATCCCTTATTAGAAACATGTTTCTATTAATTATCTAAATGGTAAAACACTTTAAAAACACCAAAATAAATTAGGATACAATGAAGATATTGGTATTATTATGTCCTTTTGAATACAAAACAAAATAGGACATTTTAATATCAAACAAAATGACTTTTCTTCCAGTTTTTTTGATTTTTTTACAGTTTATTTTGCACATGCAACCACCATGGTAAACATGATGAGAGGGAGCACTGCAGTGAACAACTGCTGACTACAGAACATACTGAGATATTATCTCGGCCTGTTGTTCCTAGAGAAGAGCAATGACTCCAAAAGGCTCCGTCTATTAATCATCCTGAGCGCCCTGTATGATATGGGCACAGCTAACAGGAATGCAGGGGGGGATGGGTTAATGTCAGCCCAGCATGGCTGATCATACCAACCAAAAAATAACAACACAGCAGGAAGGTGAGAGGACCTGCAGCATCAACATCATCATTTTACACCTAAAATATGATTTATGAAGGAAACCAGCACGTTTTCCCTTTGATCCAAAGACCCCCACCTTCAAGTCTACCTCCAGCGTTTCCTTCTCTACCACCCAACATGCCCCAACAACACACAGATGCATCACAACTGAGGCTTCGTACATCTCACTGCATAACATGCGGGAAGCCGCTGCACTGTCCTTCCTACCACTGATCACCACTTCCATGTCTGCTGTGATCGCAGCGTCAGGGGACTCAACATAATAAATAGTTATAAATCCTCCTCCCCATTGTTAAACCCACACAGAGGCCGAGCAGTAATAAAAAAGACTTGTGCTCAGTGTAAAAGATGGCAGAGGTCACTAATATTATATTGAGCTGCATCAATCTACATGACGACGAAATTGCACAAAGACACATGTTTTAGCTTCACTAAGGACATGACAACATAACAATCATTGGATTGAGAGCCATGAAAAAGGCTGAATCCTAATTTATTTGTGATACCTAGAGTGCTTTTCATTACACTAACTTATGCTTCCTCCCGTGACCGGAAAATCATACATTTGAGAGATCAGAGGAGAGAGGAGGCATCTCGAGGAGAGAAAGGAAACATAGGAGTATCCTTTTATCAAGTGGTGTGGCGTATAGTTGTGGCACCTCCACTTGTGAAACACAGCTGTGCAGCAAGTCATAAGTTAGATATTTTTCCTCAGACTGATTATGGACCAAACTATTTCTCATTTGGCAATTTCATCTCCTCGCTCCTGACGTCTCTTTTTCGTTCTCTCTCACACTTTCTCACCGGGAGGAGAAAGATGCAAGGAAGAAGCAAGAACAAAAGCAGCGATAAAACACATTAGCATGAAAAGCACCACTAGAATTTTTCTCTAGCACCAACAAAAGATCATAATTTGACTTTGTCCATGCCTTTGGTTGATGATGAAATACACACTAAACTAAGATGAATAGGTCAGGACAAACTGCTGAACATCAGCATGTAAACATTGTCATATTGAGCATTTAGTGTAACCTCACAGAGCTACTAGCAGGATTGTATACTCTTGTTGTTGTGTTTACATACCTTTCTGTTTCCTCTTCAGGAGGCTGAGTTCTATGCTTGAAGCCAGGGAGGCTGCTCATGTCCACGTAACCATCAGTGTCGTTGGCAGAGGACAGCACCCGACTGGGGCGGTCAAAGAAGTCTGTGAACTGCGGCTGCAGGACAGGCCTCCGCTGTGGGACCTGAAGGTTCTCGTAATCCGAGCTGATGGCGGGAACATTCTCATAGTCTGAGGTATCTGCGTTGGGGAATGAGATGGAGCGAGGCTTGGTCAGTGGAAGAGGTGTGAAAGGCACACGGGAGCGGTCCTCAAAGGACTCCACCCGGACAACGCTGCGATTGAGAAAGGCCACAGAGTTGCCTTTTATTTTGCTATCTCTGTAGAGCAAGAAGGTTGAGGGCGACTCGGAGGAAACATGAAGTTTACTAGCAGAGCGAGAGGTGAGCTGTGGAGAGCTACTGATGCTGCGTCTATCCAGATCCAGCAGTCTGCTGGGAGTGTGGGGGCTGGACTCTCCTGAAGACCTAAACAGAGACGGGTTGACATCCACCACAGGCTTGCTCTCTGTTTTCCGCCTAAATTTAAGCATCAGGAAACGCTTAATGGAGGATTTATTTTTCCTGTTTTTCTCCGGCGAGTCTCCTTCGGTGAAAAGCGATGGGGAACTCTTTGTGATGGGCCTCTTGGTGATGTAGGCCAGCTCAAACGGAGGAGGGATACCCACTGTAGATGTGGGAGTGGACAGGCCACTGGATGACAGAGCTGAGCACCTTGAGAAGCTTCCGGATGAACTAATGGCACCTCCCTGTCTCGGGGATCCATCCCTGAAGCTGTGGACACCCAGAGGCATGTCCTGCCCCTCCATGGAGAGGGAGCGGGGGTACAGGGACAAATAGTGAGGTTTGCTGTAGCTCTTGTGCCGCGTTGAGCTCATCATGGGGCTGCTGCTCAACGCAGGTTGTCCGAATCCACTCATGTAGGGCCTCTGAACAAACTGCATCTCCACGTTATTATGAATGCGGTGTGACATTGAGCAGGAGCGCATCTCTGTTGTCCTCTTGTGAAAAGGGAAAACATTTTCCCCCTCTGAGTAATGCCCTGGCTCCTCATAGAGATGCTCTTCACTAAAGTCCTGCTCCGTGTCAGAGGTGTTATCTAGAAATGGCCCTATGTGACCCTCCAGGTCTTCCTCGAAGACATCCGAGTCATTCGGTGAAAGCAGCTGGCTTTCCGAGCGAGAAGATGTCAGCGAGGTGTCGGTATCTGTTGGCACTGAGATGGATACCAGCCTGAACCTCGGCTGGCAGTCCAAATTATCGAGAAAGTCCTCCACTGTCTGAGTTTTGGGTTCTTTAGTCCCTTTCTGATGTGTTCTCGTGTTGTTTTCATCACTGTTGTAGAGGCTGAACTCAAGACTGTTATTTACCACCACGTAATCCTCATTTCCCGCTTTATTCTCATATTTCCCAGTTGATACTCCACTGCTGTTAATAGACAAAAGTGGACTCTGTGGTAGGTCATGAGATTTTTTGTTCCTTGGCATCATCTCTCTGTTAATAATGTCCTCAGAAGAGACGTAATAAGGCTCATGAGTTGGTTCCTCTTCAAGGGCAACATGCCTATTAGCTGTTCCACAGAGCTGTTTCTGGTCTTCGGGGATAAAGTCATAAAAACTAATGTTCTGTAGGTTGTCGCCCTTTTCCTTCATTTTATTGCCACATCCAAACTGCAGGATGTTACAAGTGATACCACAATCAGGAGCAGATTCCTCTTCTGTCTCCTCTATATCTGTTAGAAACACTTGTTGTTGTGTGTAAGTGTCCTTTGTATTTTCTCTGCTGAAAACATCAGGCTCATCTGTGAGAGATTCACTTAAATCATCAGCTGTACATTCACCTGTTTCATCCTCCTTGATCTGGAGCTTTTCCCGCCTGTCACTCATGTCTCGATCAGAATAGCAGCCTGCGTCCTCATCAATGCTATTAACAGAAATGTCTCCCACTGAGAGGCCATCTGTGTCTGCCAGCGCCTCTCCTGCGTCATAACCGTCAGCGTCCATGTCCTCCGTCACGTCCGTGTCAACCATGTCCACCACGTCCTCAGAGTCAGCAGTGAGTCCGGCATCACTGACCAACAGTGTTTCCAGGGAGTCCACGTCCTCTGTAAGAGCGCTGTCAGTTAACCTCCAGTCCTCATCCATCTTCTGAATCCCATCGTCTTCCTCTTCCCTTTCCTCCTCTGTCACCTCTCTGTCCTCTGCACCCTGGACATCTTGAAACGGTGATACGAGGATGTTGCCGTTAAATTGTTTCTCTGCATCCAACACTTTGTTTAGACCATTTTCTGTCTCGTGCTCTTGGTCGACCTCGCCATAAGAACTTAATAATCCGCCATTGATGCACCCTCCCTGGTTGCCATTAAGCTCTGGTGTGACTTTAGGTTTGGGGGCTATAAAGGGTTTGGGACCCCTGGATGCGGACATGAGAGGGGAGGGCAGCTTCAGGCTGGCGTAACAAACAAATCTTGGCTTTGGAGCAACAGAAGGCTTGCTGCAGTCTGAAAGAACAACAGGAAAAGGAAACTGTAAGATTACGTGCTTTAAAATAGCTTACAGGTCATGTGTATTGTGTCCCTGTGACCTAAAACTGCTTAAACTTCACACATAATACTAAAGTAATAGTGTGTATTAAAGTCACATTTCAATTCATTTGTCCTGAAGTCGCAGAATGTCACAAAATGTGAATAACATTTGTTAAGAACTAAACAATAAACAAATGATCAAATTAATATCAGCTGGGAGATTTCCTTTGTACTTTTCAGTAAGGGCTACTCAAACTAATAGATGGTTATAAAAGGACATAAGAGACTTAAATTGAGTAATGTTTGCTTTTACAATCCTTTGAGAAAGAATATAAAGAAATCGAAGGGATTTCCCTGACTCACTTCCTGTGATTCAAGCGAGAGAAACCCCTCTCAGGCTCCATTTACTGCCTAATAATACAACTTAATCTACAGTGACCAAAAGCAACACATGTCATTTATGTACATATGCCACATTTAACTCATGCACAACATATAATCACTTTAAAATGACCTGAGCAAATAAGGGACATAGGGCCACCATATGAGTATTACTTGCATTGGACCTGTGAATGACTGCAAGGTAGATTATTACAGCCACATAACATTAGCCCACTAGAGATCAATCACTGGGAAAGCTTTTTTAATGGACCAGAAAGGGAGAAAAAGTGAGTAAGTTGCCAACATTTCCCTACCTCTACTCTGACATTAAGAAACAACGCGTTTGAACTCTTTGGGTTTGTTTCACATCCTGTTGCTACAGCTGGATTCATGTTATATACAATAATGAATAAAAAAAAAATATATATATATATATACATATATATATATATATATATGAAGATATGATAACAGATAATACACATTTCCAAATTCATGCTTAATAATCACTTTCTCAAAGTACATTAAATATCGAGCACAAATAGGAATTTAGGCTTTGAAGCAAAATCACTCTTCCGTCTGAAATAAATCTCACCTGTGTTCATTTTTGCGATGCGACCATGTCCAACATCTTCTCCACAAGGTTCGCTACACACAATAAATAACGCGTGAACACGCAGCCAAACTCATCCGAACTGTACAAGCAGAGAGAGAGTCTGAACCACAGCTCTGTCTGATCCTCCTCGAGAGGGAAACGCTGCTCAGCTGATCGCCTGTGAGTCCTCCGGCGCGCAGGACGCGACTGGAAACCAAATGGAGAAAAAAAAGGAATCTCGACCCGCTCCACACAGAACAGGATGTTACAGCAGCAGCAGTCAAGTGTTACACATATTAACACCAACCTACAACTGAGGGATGCTTAATATTTGTAATATACTGCAAAAGAGAACATGTTAAAGGATGTGATGTGGACGTTTTGATGCTATCATATTTCAGATTAGCCTATACCCAAGAATGAGTCATAAAACCTGTTCATGGGAATTTTACTATTCACTACAGTATGTGAAAATTAAAAGGTGTTTAATAGAAACTAAAAAGACACTTTAAGATAAGAAAATATGTTTTGCTTTTATGACTGGGGGTTTATAATAGTTTATAGTTTTGTCTCCAACCTTTAATAAGAACCACTGAATGGTTGCCAGGTTGTGAAAAGTGTACTTGATTTACGACATTCATAGTTGCAGACTTGAGGGATTCAAATATTTAATTGATTACATATCAATTAATTAACGTTTTCCCTGTCAGTGTTTCACTACAAAGACTAAAGACAGTACATCCGGTCATTATGCATTAGCATATCCTATTATGCTACTGTGATGTCCATAACAAATTCATATATATTTATTGTTGCACACCCAATGGTGGGAAACCACATTTATCATGATCAGTTAAAAGAAGCAATAAACAACAGGCTACGGGATTTTACAACCTGGCAACCCAACAGTTTTCTTATGAATTGCATATAACTGATCTATAAAGCATAAGTAAAATGTTTATTACCCATGAGCAAACACCATGAGTTACAACTTATAAACCATTTATAATGAAACCTTATTAGAAAATCTACCAATATATTTGTTTCACTTTAAAAACCCTAGAAATCAAAGCTTCCCCTCATGCTTATACACAATGTCTGGTGACAACTAAATATTCTCAGTCCCCACTTGTTAATGGATATTATTGAAAAGCTATATTTATCAGTATTACTGATCCTTCTCATTAAACTGTTCCTAAGGCGTGGTTTTAAATCAGCTCTCCTCGAATGATGAACCAGTCTTGTGTGATTGGTGTACAACGGTCTCTTTTCTACATAACAGGAAACTGCTCTCCCTGTTTCCTGCTCAGCCCAGCTTCACATCCTTAGCCGTTTATGGACATCATGCTCACATTTAACCCCTCTGTAAATTAACTGTGACTCACTGGGGGTGAAGTATAAGGGAAGCTATTTTTACTCTCCAAGTGTGATCAGCTGGTGTAATTATTACACTAAAACGTATATTTGCTGTGTGTCACAGGTTCAATATAAACAAACAGGAGCATACAAATGTGGAGTGGCTCTGAGGGGGGATCAGTTCAGAGAAAAAAGGAGTCTGGCTCTTTTTACGCCAAACAAAACACATCAGCAACGCAAGAAACATGTTGTATTTGGTGCCATTCTCATTAATGAATGGACTCACCTCACATCTATACATTTCCCTTTTTTTACCAGAGGGTGATTTAGATATAATCCGAGAGTTACATAAAGTATATTACAGTAGAGAGGCTAATACTGAACAGCGCAGTAAAGGGTGTTCCCCGGCACCACACAGAGGCTTCAGTGCTGATGAGTCTGAACAACACCATGATGAACGGTCTTGCCTATATGTGAATCCCACTTTAGGGTCAAACATTAATCCACAGCTAGGAAATCTAGGCACATCAGTCCACTGGCATATGATTGTAAATATTTTTGTCTGCTCATACTGTCTGTTGTGACCCAATTTAGATCCTGAGACACACACACACCTTTCCTTCCATTAGTTTAACAGTGAGGTACCAGAGGGTTTTTTCAGAGTGTTGCTCTTGAGACTCAACAAAGTATTTTCATTGAGTGTTCGGCTCATTGAAAAACATGCGGTTGCACCTTTGACCACCGTTTTGTCCATGCAATAATTGTGTTTTCATATCAAGTCAATAAAGGGGAAGGAAGGCGGGCTCTGCAGACTGCAGCACATGAGAATAATGACACATCCCAATAATACGGCTGATATGAAATCATGTTTTGGGATGAGGGAAAATCCCCCACACACAGTGAAAGTGACTAGTGCAAACAATGTTATCTCCATCAATACTTAGCAATCGTCTCAGTCTGTGTCTCTTTCCTCTTACTCAAGATGTACTTCTTTGAAAAACTTGATCTAAAATACTCTCTTCCTCCCTGTCTATCTGCAGCTGTGTGCCCAAAAAGTGCCAGAAAACGTGAACGAATACATTAAAATTAGTATTGGTTTCCATCTTAATCTTAAAGACAAAAATTAATAAATTGCATTTGCTACACAAACTATAATAATAAAAAAAGATCAACAGTTAAATAAATATCTTATGACATTATTAGCCATAAATATTTTCAGTATTTCCTCTTATTATAACCCTTGCAGTGTTTAAGAGCACAATGAGGCTGAATTTTCAACCTGCTACGAAATGTATTATCCATCTCTTCAAATCAAGATTAATGGGTGTATTTATGGATTGTGAGTTCAACACATAATCAATAAATTGTCCTTAATCTACGTGGTTCTCCCTCATAAAGGGTTGGGATGTAGATCCAGGTCAGACACACATGCAGCCATGACATATTGGATGTGTACAGAAGAATATTGAACAATGTCCATATGTTTTTGAAAACAGATTATAAAAACCCTCCGAGCCGTGTGCAGTCTGAACCCTGAGGTCCATCTCTGTCTGTGTGTCTCCTTTGTGCGTCAGGCGAGGAAAGAGTGTGCGTCCCCTCCTCTCTCCTGCTCTGAGGTGAACAATAAGACTGGGGCTTGAAAAAGGAACTCCATCTTGATATACTCCTTCCTGTGAGCGTTTTCAAGTCTTTCAGCTCAACTAGAGCGCGGAGGGCGTAGTCCCCAGACTAAAGGATCATTCCAGTTATGTTCAACCTGGGCCTCATTGTCCTGCTTTTGACATGAGTCAAATTTTATTTTTACTTGTACGTCTATTATATTAGGAGAATGAGCGTCCATTAACACATGGAGTTACTACTGTGTTTCCGTAGGCCTAGACAAAGCCCTTTATATCTACATAGGAAGTGCGTCCTCTTCATGGAGTCCGGCAGTTTGCTATGACATTTCTACAGTAGCTCAGAATGGACAAAAACGTGCGATAGAGAAGGCCTTTTGTGTTTTTATTTTAACTGTAGCCATCAGAAGTTTTTGGACATTCTGGTAAAACTACAGTTAAACAACCGCCCCTTGAATTTCGTGGCCCATAAAGTAATGTTTTGCAAGGATGATTTCTGAGCGGGACAGAATTCTTAAAAGACACAACGGCACCAACACAGTTCTGCAGTCTGAGGCTCTTCACAACATGGAGCGAGCGGAGAGGTTAACAATTGGTTGCAATCGGTATATGCAACACTAGATGGACACTGTCCCTTTAATCTTAACCCTAACAATTGTTATTACCAAAGAAGCTGCATATTTTCTTTGTGCATTGCCTAAATGTTTTCTGTATCACTGTTTCAAACTGTATAGTTAATCAATATTATGTGTAAAGACTAAGTACAATCAAAAGTATTAGTTTAAATCAAATCTCTAAAAACTAAAGAACCAAATCGACATCTTTGGCATCAAGTGGCAGTTTTTTACGTCCACACCTATTTCCAAAAACATCAAACAGGAATAAAAACAATGATGCACATTTGTGTATCCTTGGAAAGTATTGTTGTCTTGTGTTGTCTTTGGCAACACTTAATCCTGTAAATGTAAGCATTTGAACCAATAAGATGCAGGAAAAAACTCTTGTGTCATGGCTGTCTAATTTTAGTTTCCCTTCACATCATGACATGAAGAAAACACAGCTGGAGAGGTGTTTTGTTCTTCTGTGAGGACTTTCCGACGGGTGCACAATGGAATAAGTTCTGACAAAGGAAAGCTGTAAAGATAAGATTTATGACGCACATTTTTTCACATGAATATGTGTGTGTAGACATTTTTCTTGTCTTTATGTGTATAACGTTTATTAACCATGATAGGAGCAATTAATAGCATATAGCTTTATCGAAATAATAAAGAGTATTTCACCTGTTGACTGCACTCCTACATTGTTGTTTTACCTTATTATTGCCATCAACAACATTATTATTTCGTAATTTACTCATACGCATTCCTTTTTATGTTAATAATTTGGACTATAAAATGTCATGAGATAGTGACAAATGTCCATCTCAGTTGCTAACATATAAAAGAGAGAGAAGCAGCGCATCTCCATATTTGAGAGGCTGAAGGGATAAACAAAATAGTTGTGGATTATTTTTCTGTCAATTGACTAATTGATTACTGTACTGATTGTTGCAGCTCTATCACTCACAAAAAAGAGGTAGCAAATTGATGAAACCCTGGCAACTACATATCCCAAAATGCAACTTGCATGCTGACAGTTCGGTCAAGGATCCTGGTGTGTTGTTCATATTACAGCTAATGTTGCCACAATGAGGAAGAATTGTCTAAATAAATCATAAAGTGCATGTCAAAGGGGTTTCCTGGAAGCTTTAAGGGGATTTAGGACAGCTTTGATTCAGGGCAGCAAAAAAAGAACAAAATGACTAAGCCATCTATGCTGAAAGGAAATCATTTAAGCAAATATATATGAAACATGAATATCTGTCATTAATGTTTAGCAATGCTTCATATTGCCTGTAACACACCTGTGTATTCAGTATTCATACAGTAGCTTTAGCATTTTCTGTGCTGAAGGAATACAGTTCCATAATGCACACTTTCTGAGATTTATTTATTTGCTTTGACTTTCAGAAAACACATCACTGTTCATTTGACTGACAGCTATTAACTGATACAGAAAATACTTCCATTAGATTGTTGTCATGGGAAGCAATAAGCCTAATGACGTTATTGTCAGCGCGGACAACACATCCCCGTAAAATAGGATTAACCTGACTCTGTCATGAGAGTATAATGTGTCTGTGTGTTAGTGTGCCGTAGGACA